CTGATGCTATTGTTGGATTGCCTGGCAAGGGGCTTAATGCAGAGCAACGCAAGCGTCTGAGTATTGGTGTCGAGTTAGCTGGAAAGCCATCCCTGATGCTGTTTCTGGATGAGCCAACTTCAGGACTAGACAGCCAATCGTCAGAGGCAATCTTGAGCCTGCTCCAGAAGCTGGCTATGGGAGGGTTGGGGATCTTGTGTACTATCCATCAGCCAAGTGCCATGCTGTTCCAGAGGTTTGATCGACTGTTGCTTATGGCGCGAGGTGGCAAGGTTGCCTACTTTGGAGATGTCGGCGAGAATTCAGAGACAGTGCTTGGATATTTTGGTGAACGTGCACCAAGGAGGTGTAATGACGATGAGAATCCTGCAGAGTATATCCTGGATATGATTGGAAATTCCAAAGGAGATGAGTTCGACTGGCCTCATCTCTGGAATACCTCCCGAGAGGCCAACGAAGTCACAGCTGAGCTGGAACACATTTCACAATCTTCATCTCCCAAACCATCACATGAACACGATGCTCAAACCCAACAACGCGGCGCCTACCCTGTTCCTCTGACCTCACAAGTACCAATCGTGTACAGACGCATAATGCAGCAATACTGGCGGTCAACAACCTACATCGTCAGTAAATTCATATTAGGTATCGCAGGCACTTTATTCATAGGCTTCTCATTCTTCCAACCTGGTAATTCCATTCTTGGAACCCAAAACGCCATTTTCTCAATTCTCATGGTTTGTGCCATGTTTAGCAGCTTAGTCCAACAGGTACAGTTCTCCGACCATAAAAACTATGTACAGCTAATAGGGTCATTATAGATTATGCCAAAGTTTGTCATGCAGCGTACTATCTATGAAGTGCGTGAGCGTCATTCGAATATGTACTCGTGGACTGTTCTCATCTTGACCAACATCCTGGCGGAAATACCGTATCATATTATCCTTGGTGTAATCACCTTTGCGATATTCAATTACACAGTTTTCGGAATACGCTCATCCGAAGACCAAGGACTGATTCTGTTATTCTTTGTATACTTTTATGTCCTTGTCGGTACATTTGCAGCTATGGTCATTGCACCGTTGCCTGATGCGACGACGGCTGGTCGCGTGACAACAGTCCTATTCTCTATGATGATTCTGTTCGCTGGTGTTTTCCAAACCCCGACTGCTCTACCTGGTTTCTGGATATTCATGTATCGGGTTTCTCCTATGACCTATCTTGTTGGCGGTGTTTCTGTTACGGGGCTTGCGGGTGATACAATCATTTGCTCCGACTCTGAGCTTGCTATCTTTCAGCCTCCAACTGGTGAGACCTGTGGATCATACATGCAGCAATACATTGAGCAGGGTGCACTAGGAACGCTGCTCAATCCTCAGGCTACGACTGATTGTTCGTATTGTCCTCTTCGATATACCGATCAGATCTTGGCTCGTTCTGGTATGTATTATCATGACAGATGGAGGGATTGGGCACTTGGTTTTGCTTATGTTGTTTTCAATATCGCTGCTACATTTTTGCTTTACGCACTGTTCAGATTATCCCTTTGGGGTGCGGGGATTAAGAGAGTCCAAGAAGTGTTTCGGAGGAATGGACACCATACAGGCGTTTAAATGGCCAATATGGCATCGGGTCTTTACAGCTCAAGATTGTAACTATGATATTAGTCTTCTTAGTGCATTGTTCGTAGCTTCACAGTATATCCATCTCTGTTATCTTCCTCAACACGCTGTACTTCCGGAGTCAAACTCACCCCCGTGCCCTCTGTTCTCTTCCATTAACGTTGACTGAAGCTTATCCATCAGCTTTCCCAGAATCCATTCACTTTCTCCCTTGCTACTTATCAAAGGACTCAGATTCCCAATCCACGACCATTTTTCTGAAACGTTATGGCCATCTTTCTGCTGGTCAATTCTACAGTGTGTTCTTGGGTTATGCTCATCTTCTCCAATAAGCTTGAGATACCAGGCCCACTGGTCGAAAGTATAGTGGTGAGGCTTGGACTCTTTGAGGTGGTCAATAATGACACGAATCTCGGACATTAAAAGAAATTGTAAGTCGGCCCCCGGGGGAAGATTCTCAAGATTATTCTGCAAATAGGAGGCGAAACGCGCATGAGGTTGAATGCTCCGTGAATTTGATATCGCGAAAGGAGGTTGATCGGTAGGCAATCGTTGATCAATGGCTTTCAAAGACGCCGCTGTACCATCAGATCCAGTGCTGTGGTCTCTGAAGATCTTGCCAAATGTAATTTTGCTAACAAGACTCTTCACATTCCTAACAAATCCCCGATCATTCGGCAAAATTGTAACATTTCCAATGAGAATAGTTACATCTCGCACAATCCTAACCACAGTATCACTCGCATTCGATATAAGGATCGTCATGGTCGGCAGAGCAAGGAGAGACCAAAACACATAGAACGATCTTCCGAGATTAGACACTGGAGTTAAATCCCCATATCCAATAGTCGTCCAGGCCACGAAGCAGAAATACACCGCATCAAAGTATGTCCAGCCTTGGTAGGCCTGTTCAGCTTTTTGGAAGATTAAAGCGCCTAATAACCATAAAAGGAGCCATAAGAACGTCGAAATGGCCATGGCTACCCATCTTCTGCGTGTGGAAGACTTGGCCTGAATTCTTCGCATTAACTGAAATTCAGCTCTGCGGCGTTCAAACTCGCGTTGTTGTAATTCGGTCGAGCTTGCGTGTGGCGTCTGCAAGTCTTGATAGATAGGGTCCAGCGTGTTAATATTGCATGTGAGGAGCATCTTCCTGATAAGCTTGTCTCGCTTCCTATTGTCTATCCTCGCCCCGATGCATCTCTTCCCATTCTCAAGGATCAAGCTCCTAACTGAGCTGATTACCAAGCCCAGAGAAATAATCCCAGCTAGGGCAAACGGTATCAAGAGTCCTCTCCCCAGGTCAGTCGTGGGGTGATAGTCCCCAAAGCCAACGGTGAAAAGCGTAACCACTGTCCAATATACAGCATCGAGGTAACCCCAGGACTCAATCTCAGAGAAGATATAGGCACCAAGAAGGACGTATATCAGGAGTAAGATGCTCTGAAGCATGAGGGTGCGTTGACTCATGGTTAGTAGCAGGTCCTTGTGATAGCGATGCGTACAAGCGCCCCAAAAAGTGATAGTAAGGAGTGACGCATCGGCAAAATAGAGTATGGCTGCAAACATTCCGTAGTAGAAGGATTGAGACCAAATGATATCTTCATTAGATACTTCTTTGTCTTTGAAAGGCCGAGCGACAGTAGCGCTTAGAGCGATACGACAGATTGAAGAGGTATACCTGTTTGCCTAAAATCAGCAATAAACCATATATTACAATCTTCCTCATACCATCCAAATATCGTGATAGGCAGAGCTAGACCGAAACGGACCCGTCTCGCCATGTTGAGAAGAAGGAAGAGATTCGCAATGGTACCGACTAAGAGCTGGATACCCTCGATGATCAATAACCTAGATTAGAGCATTAGCAAAGATTAATGATCTGATTTCACCAAAATATTACCATGAAGGATCTGGAACATCCACGGCGTCCTCTATATTTCCCCCAGGGATAAGGCTCTGTCGCCACGGCGCAACTAATGAACATATACTAAACGCGGAAGCAACTGGACCCAAAGTGCCAGCGATCATAGGGAATGCTGTTGAGAGGAACCACCAACGGCTGGAACAAATAAGAGAGGCCTGTGTTAGTGGCAATCTATTTATTTATCATCAGCTATTTATTTACGTAGGAAACCTACCTGGGCTCATGTGAAACATCGCCATTGTGTAGCTTTTCTGTCTGAGTAGTAGCGGTGTCTGTGCCGGAGTGCAAATGTTGATTAAAATATTCCTCATCGAGGGGAGCCATGGCGAGCTGTTTCTTGTGTAGCACTTCGGCACGAAAAGACACTCTCGAGATTAAATCTCAAAGCTGAGTAGATTTAGTCATGGGATTGCGATGCTGAGGTTTTCAGTGTTAGCTACCCTAAAGACGATATGGATTTGGTGCTATTAGGACTGCACGTGGTAAGCTCACCATCTTACGGCGAATAGTATATCAATTTCTCCCATTCGATTGCACCTGTGACTGATAGGCCATTCAATTCAGCAAAGTTTACACTAATACACAGTCTTTCCGTCACAACGAGAAAAGCCTGCTTGGCACAGGGTATTGTGTTAGCCATTGGGCTGCCTGGGGATAATAGTCTTTGCAACTAACATTTTCTCAATCTTGTCAACCAATGCCAATCCTAATGGCCTGCAAGGGTAAATGAAAGTTGGTGTGTAAGCGTTAAAAGATGGCCACTTTCTGCCGATGCCACAAAAGTTCCCGCAGGAGTCTAGATCCCAGCTCAAGGGTTTCGTCTAAGGTATAGAATCTAAAGTACCTCCTCGTCCGAATGGATACGAGGCTGCAACGCGTAATTAGACTTGCTTTGAAAACTTATATCCCTATCTTGATGAGTCATAGCACTGTAATGGCTTAATTAGCACATCATGGCTGATAGGATATTATGCATGCAAGCTTTGAAAATCCAGTCACAAATTGTCTCCAGAAGCCCAGGTCGCCTGCCAATAGGTATCCCTCACTCTACCGTTAGTGATTGCCTGTCACATGTTTGCTGCGAGTTCCATTAGTATCATGATCTGACACACCTTTTGCAGATTAGCAACTGGAAGGGCGATCGGATTAATCGTGGCCAGGGTCTGGACCGGAAAGGACCCCTGGTTATCCGATATGTTGGTTATTCAAGCGCTGCGACCAGTAGAATATGTATGTATCGTTAGGGAGGTGTAGCCAAAAGCTTCAACATCGAGGTTGGAAACCCCCCAAGTTCAATCTCGGCATCCTCAAACACAATACGACAACCTATATTAGGCCCCCTTTTCTTCTACGGCTGATGTTTTAATAGAAAATACTGAAATTGTCGATAGCCGTTATCTACCCTTGAACAATCGCTCCTCTTATAATCATACTTTGAAATCCTCAGCACCATGGCCTCCCGGGAGCTTCTCGTGGTGATTCTAAACCATACCAATGAAGAACTCAACACCGAACCTGAATGGCCAACTCTTGTCCACGGCCAATTCATAAAAGACGCAGATCTTCCACCACCGCAAGCAATACTCGCCGGTGAGAGCGGCATGTTGCGTTGCAAATCGAACCACTTGGGCGGAGGGGTCGAAGGCTCAATTACGTACCGTGTCGTCGGATTCGGACCAAGAAACGAAGTGACATTTTCTTGGAGCGTGCCGTATGTTGGTGTGAATAAGTTTAGCGCTGCTTCTGCCATCCCCAATTTCCAGGTGCAAACTTTGGGTGGGCATGGTAATCAGGCTGTTGTTGTCTTTGTTTTTGGTAAGTTAGCCCTTTATGGGAAAGGCTTCTTCTTAGTAACACTTTAGAACCAAGTCAAAAGGCAGATGGAGGGATGGAAGATGGTGGAGTGTTAGCTGCCATTGCTAAGTATCCTCTGGAGTGTGCTGAGGGTCCTTTGAATGGTTTTAATCACAGTTAGGTAAATTTAATATCTTGTCTCAGTTGGAAACTCACATGTGATGTGATAAGAGGATATGTTATTGGCTGAATGAATGCACTGTGTTTGTGGCGGCACACCACCAATATCTATTTACCTTCGGGAGGCTTGGACTGACAGTCCAATCCATAGCTGACCACAAACTTTATCGGATTTTGAAATAGTGCATGGTACGAAGGCCACATAACAGTGCGCAAGGCAAGCCTGCCACGATAAACGCGTAACTATGACGTATCACTACGGGTGACGAACTTTACTCAGCCTCAAAGACGGTTGTTTTTCCTGCCCAATCCACTGTTACCCTTGAAATTATCTACTGATTCAACGAAGTGCCAGGCTTGTGACAATTCGTGATCTTGTCTTTCACTCAATTGATTCACTTTGTAGTGTGGCTGGCTTTACCCGCCTGTAAGTTGAAATAATTTCTTAAATAAATTTGAATAATAAAATACCAGTTAAATATTATATTTAAAGCCATTTCTACTTTGGTAAATAATATCCTGGAAGTTGTATTCCATTGCTGCAAATACTGATACTACCCTTGAAATAAAACAAGTAACACAGGTTCAAGCAAGTGAAAATATTAATATAAAATAAAAGTAGGACTTGTTAATAAATGCTAATTAAGACTATCATCAGACAAGATTAAGATATCTTCTTCTACAATTTTCAGTTTTACCTTTAGCCCCCAGCCATCTGGCCCTCCAATCCAATTCTTCTTTTTACCAATCTTTTCCACTATATTCACATGATCTCTTAAGGCTTTCTTTAGCTTTGCGGGATCATGTTTCATCTTTTGTATAGATATTGTCAGCTGAACACCCTCCCCCTTCTTCTTATGGCCTAGATCCCAAGCCCATTCAGACGAGAGCACAATGCGAGGCTTGCTCTCATCAATCTCTCCTGAGGGATAGAGGCGACCAAGTAGGTATCCGACTCGGCCAAGGTATGCAGCCCACCAAACCTCTTCAGGCGTAATGATAGATTGGAGTGCCTCCTTGAACTTACTCTCGCGTGGGGGTAGCTCTCCCATATAACGCGATTCCAACATGAGGGCAAGTCTGGCTCGGTCTTCATGCGAAACCCCGCGAGTAAAGGCAAGTAGTCCGGTGCTTGTGCTATACATTGCCGCCGTAGATGCAAGCTCTTTATCCATGATCGTATGAACATACATGATATTTGCGAATCCTCGTATAACGTGCTTGCTGATGGACTCTGGGAATCTGCGAGTCCCACCCTGGGAGGGCTTGGGAAATGAGAACATGAGAAGGTTGTAAAGAGCCTCGACTGACTCAGGGGCGAAACGCTGGGTAGTGACCTCGAGCGGGTCCTGAGCTCTGATACTAGGCTCAAGCTCTCTAAATAGAAGTCCTTCTCGCACACCTCCTTGACAGAAGTGTGCAAGTCGGATTCCATGAGGGATCGCGTTGGATAGAGCGTTGATTAGGAATGCGACAGCAGGAACCTGTTTTCTCCTCCGATCTGAAACCCGGAAGACAGAATGTGCATTCCGAGCAACCTCTTCCATGGCTTTTGTGTTCTCAAACCTTTCCTTTCCAACGGTGTATCCGTTAATGATGGATATGGGATGAGGCTTCTCGCCCGTCTGGCTCATATAAAGGAGCAAGTAGCCCCAACCTCGAAATCCACCCCCAGAGAGATATAATGGAAACCCGCCATTTGTCTTTGCTTCCTCAACTAAGCTTTCAGGAATTCGGAGACTTTTGTATGCGTCCTCAAAATTCTTTGACATCTCCTGGCGAAGCTTTTCTCGTGCTTTCTCTGCCTCATGTTTCGACTTACCCCTTTTAAGGTCCTCCAAAGTCTTCGTCAATGCTGCAGCTCCGTAAGGAAAGCTTATTGATCCTTTGTCACTAATGCGGACGTTCCCGCCTTGTGATATAATCCAGGTAATCTGAGTGCTGCCACCGCCAAGGTCCATCATAAGTCCTCTAATATCAGAGAAACCGCTTGCAACACCTAGAGAACCGATACGTCCTTCATCTTCTTTAGGGAGCATATCAACGACAAGTCCGGTAGCTGCCTTTATTTTCTTTATGAATTCAGCTGAGTTGAGAGCAGCTCGAGTTGCTTCAGTGGCGACAACATGGATGTTCGCTTCGGGAACGCCAAGGTCGGTGCAGACAATTTTGAAACGATTCAGCGCAGCAATAACGTCGTCAATAGTATCAGGTGGGATAGGTACTTGGTGGCCGGTCTCTGGATCAAATTGGGCGTCGTAAAGTGATATACTGACACGATACACATGGATTGTAGGAAGAATACGAGAGAAAGGTGGAGATAGATCCGTGACGGAGAATCGGATGCCGTTACTAGTATATCTGTCAGCCTCAAAGCCAATGATTTCCATCTGTTCAAGACCCGTTTATTATTATATTAATAACCAAGGAATAATTTGCCGTACTTCATTTTCCATACAGGGCGTTACTTACCTCCCCATATCCACTATACCACGTAGGTAGGAGGAATCCACTGTTTGTAGTTCATCTCGGGGCCTTATAGGAGGGGCAGGTGAGTGTGAGTCCACAACAATTTCATAATCGGAGATGGAGAAATCCATTATGACGTTTGAGAAAACCTGAATTGAATGATTTGGGTAGCTTAGCCGAAGGATCTGGATGAAGAGTTGATTAAGGTAATGACATAAACAAGACAACGATTAATGATCCTACGGGTGAATATAAGTGACGGTGGTAGGCGAACTTTAGCTTGTAAAGTGGCTTTTAAGTAAATATTTGCAAAGGGTTATGGGTTGAATTAGCTATTTATGTCCAGATTCCAATCGATGGTCTTACACAACGTTGACATTCAGGCGCCTGAACGCTCTCTCATAGATACGTCAAGTCCATCGATATAATTGGCTCGAGTTTGAGGTGGTGTGAGACATGAACGTCAATGCATGATGAAAATGTATTAGCCAATGACACTATTTGTAAATAAAAGGATATTAATGTACTCCGACTTCTGTTAAGAGTTTCAGTTAGTCGGGAACAATAATGCAGAGGATTAAGTAAGGTTTACTGCTTAATACATACCATCCGCAATCTATTCTACGGCCATGATCAGCAGTTCATTGACAGCGCCTCGCTACGTCCTTCTCCGTCACGAAGCGGAAGGGGGCCAACACTACCTCCGGACGTTCTGGGATGATTGAGGCTCGAAATAAAGGCGAAATATATAACTCACATTGACTAGACATCCTTGTTGCTTGATAAAGTCGTGTAAAGCATCCAGCCTTGCATTCTTGTTAAAAAGAAGTAACACTATCCTTTGCCATGATGATAATACATTATTGTGACACAGTATCTTCTACAAAGTTCATACGGCTGGGGAACAAATCATAATGAATCATGCTCTTAAATGATAAGCAGCCACTTTATGGAAAATTCGCGCCTGTCAGCGCTACCACATGCATATGTCTTAAGCTGAGTGCAGTGGAGATCGAGCGAAAGTTGCCAGTTTGAACTCAGTGAAGCCTCGGTGTAAAGGCGCGCGGTCAGCGCCAGCTCTCAGCCAGATTCACCTCTAAATAACACATCTCAAAACACATCAATTAAGTCTCATCATGTCCGTAAAGAATGCCGAACATGGGGGGTTCTAGATTGCATAGTCACGTGGGCACCTGGAACCCATTATCCTAAAGGTGTTTAAACCTATTCTTCTATTCCTCATTGTTATATACCCCTAATTGTTGCCTACCCCTGTCCACTTCCTAAGTGCTTATATATGTCCAGTTTATTCTATATAATTTATATTATAGTAACTGATTTATCTTATTTTAATTAATAATTTATATATACATTAACGTGTTTAATAAGCATGTGCTGCACTTTTCCCTCTTATATTATATATTTTACCTAAATAATTAGCTCTTAACTATTTATTATACCACAGCCTTCAACTGAAGCTAAATCCCCTCCTGCTCTTTAGGCTCTTTAGAAAGTGTTGGCCAAGACAAATACTAGGCGTCACTAGGCTTCAGCGTCACCAAAAGCTGGACGACAGGAAACTCTTACAGCTGCAACGGCTGCCAGAAAAACACTGTCTGCATTTGGTACAACATCGCCCACACGACTTGTAAGTTACCCTGAGACGGAGCACGCAACTTGAGATAAGGTTGACAGATAGCAGACACCGTGAAAGAAACTTCGCGCACGCCAGGCGAGTATAAGCACGAGACGAACATATATGACATTTCTTCTCCCAGCCAGAACAACAAAGGCGGCAGTTACTACTGCGTTGTCGGTCATTGTAAAGCCAAGGGTGATAGTTGGTGGGATAGGAGGGCCGTTATGCCGTTCCTTGAAATAGCAGAATAGGCGACAGCCGTAGTTTGTCAGATTTGCAACATATTTCTTATCTGTTAGTTTAGTTACCCCGATTTTAGGGTTTTTTAATTTCAAGAAAATACCTCTTCTTTTGATTCAGTGTCCCTCGATTTGCGGTTCTAAGTTTTGTATAGTCATATAAGCTCTCAGCCACAAGTCTCAGCTCCAAATAACACAACTGTTCTGCGATTCTTACGGCCCCGAGAAGAACTTACAAATATGGTACAAAACTCATATTCAAACTCGGAACCTTGAATTCGACTAGCAAGGTTGGCAAAAATGTTTACACATCTCCGTTCCCGCGATTTTCAGTTGCGATCGACGGAGCGGAAGCAAAGGCTGACAAAATGCCCTTGGAGGAACCGCAAATATCTTTTGTCAGACATATACGTAAGTTCTGTGTGGTGATATAAGCTCTCAGCGACGGGTCTCAATTGCAAATAACACATCTGGCTCACAACTTAGACATTGTACCAAAATACCTAACCAATTGCTAGTCAGACATGTACGTAGTTCCGATTGAGCCGATGATGTTGGACCAGACTCTGCTGAGTTACACGCACGTAACAAGCGACTGGTAATAACATCAGGCTCGGATGAACTTGGACAACAGGCCACAGCACCTTCGGATTGCCCAGCATACCTCCAGTACTTTATTCGTCAGGTATGAGGACGCATCCTTGTTGATGTCTGTTAAGAGGTTACCTGACAAGACACAAAACTACGCGCTTGTGTCCGGTACTCCTTGTTGCTCCGTAAGCTTACGACTTGGTTAGGCTATTGAGGGGCGAACAACCAATGGCAAGTGCCGAGAAAATTGTGGAAGCCTCCCGGGTGGGGAGACGCGGAGATGACCCGGCCAAACCTACATAAGCGGCGGGGAGATGATCCGAGGTGGAAACGCCATCTGCAGAGACAACAAGAAATCACTCTGGATGGGGAATACTAGAGCTGAATATGAGTATAAAAATATGGCGATGGCGTCTTTAACGAACAGGGATAAAGGTTCTGGATGGAGAGCTTTTCGATTCAAAAATCGAATCACTTCGCTGCCCAGTTCGTATAAGAAGTCAAACTATCAAATACTTACCTGCATCGTCGATTTAAGACGGCAACGATGGCTTTAGATATACCATATTGGCTAATTGCGGTCGTATGCGTAGCTGTGTACGTTGCACAGTCAATTCTGTATAATTTATTTTTCCACCCACTTCGGAGCTACCCTGGTCCAGTCTTTGCCAAGATATCCATCATCTGGAGTCGACAAGCAAATTTCTATGGCCTCAAGTATATGAGAATTCACGAAGCTCATCGCAAGTATGGTATGTTCTGCACTAGGATAGCCCTTCTGGATGTCTTGCAGCTAATGTAGTAGGCTCTGTGGTTCGAATCGCGCCTAACGAGCTGTCCTTCGCGGACCCAGCTGCCGTTCGTGACATTTACACAAACAGTGCCTTTCAAAAAGAAGAGAACTTTTATGTGAGACTCTCCACAAACTAGACACCCCGCCGCTAACCGTGTTCAAATCTGTAGTTTGCAAAGAGAGGCTATGAGGAAGAGCATCTTTTCAGCTTTCGGTAAGAGCGCTGAACACTTATCTCAGCACATTGACTCATCTGCTGTTAAGAAATCCCGAGGCGCATAACCAGCGACGAAAGCTCCTATCCCGCGGTTACTCCCAAGGTAGTTTGCTGGATATAGAAAACGATATTGCGGCCAAAATACAAACTTTTCTCGACCTCCTTGCCACAAAAGCTGTCAATGGCAATGCGGTAGATGTATACACCTTTGTACATCTTTTTTCATTTGACGTGGTTTGTAAGTCGTATTAGCTGCATGTTGGTGAGGAACAAATTAACAATCATAGATCGTTTGCTCTTCGGAGATGACCCTAGGTCCCTTGAACTAGGAGGAGAACACAAGGTTCTGTCTTACCTTAGGGCATGGCGTCCACTCTTTACCTATGTGTGTACAACACACTACGAGTTTCACACCTTCAAGAATACTAATACGACGTGACAGAAAGAGGTATTGCCGCAGCTGGAGTGGCTTGGTGTGTATCTACCAGGCATATTTGGGAACAACTTCCGTAAAGTCAGGCAGTGGAAGATTGTGAGTGGTAGTCTAGTCGTGGAAGAACGCTCACTGACGATAAGAAAAGTATTCCGTCGACCTGATCAAGACATCTCGGCAGAATAACATCATCACGCCGTTCTTTCGTTCTCTTCTATACGGAGAGAAAGACGGTTACCTTAATCGGCCACTCACGGATTCAGAGGTGGCTGAGGAGTGCATGAGCGGAATGTGAGTTCGGTATCTCGGATGATTTCGTGAGCTGACGACTGTCAGGTTTGGCGGTACAGGAACAACCGCCAACACGTTTGTGTTTCTTCTCTGGGCTACTTTGCAACGACCAGAAGTAGTGGAGAAGCTTGAAGCAGAACTAAGAGCAGCTTTTCCCAACCCGGACTCGGTGGTCGACTATCAGGCATGTTCTTCGCTGATTAAGGACAAACAATAAGTGGAACTGACACGCCTAGACCTGCGCTCGTCTGTCCTATCTACAGGCAGTGACGAACGAAACCCTCCGCATGTATCCGACAATTGTCGCCATCTTGCCCAGAGTCGCCAAGAAGGACACCACTGTCGCGGGTCTTCAAATACCAAAAGGCGTAAGCTATTCCATCCTCTGACATAAATTCACTAATAACAAATCATACCAGACTGTTGTGGGAACACAGAACTATACCATTCATCGCTCGGAACCAGCATTCCATGATCCAGATAACTTCCTCCCCGAGCGCTGGCTCGACGACAAGAACGTTGATGCTAGAAAAGAGGCATTTGTGCCGTTCTCGGTTGGTCCTCGCAGATGCATAGGAATGAAGTAAGTATAGGTATTGACACTCTCTATTGAGTTCAACGTTGACATGCAGGAGTCTTGCACAAATGGAGTTGAGCAAACTCATAGCGGCGTTCTTCCTACGCTTCAATGCCACCATTGATCCTAGTATGCGGCCCGAAGAAATGAGGATATTTGACAGTTTCAATGCTGGTCCAGCTGGGAGGAGGTTGCTTATTAGGCTTAAAGAGAAACATTCAGAAGCTAAAACTCCTGGTACTATCGCCATTCAACACTAGTGGGACATCATTTCGCATGAATCAGTAGTGCATTGGGACATTTGGTGGAATTCAGAAGTTAAATTATCAGCCGATAGAAGTATGAGGTATACCTCACACAGACGACACGTGGGGCAACATGTCTGATGGATATATACTTCTTTACTTTTAGTCTTGAGATTCGAACATAGCTCCCCAATCAATGCTGTTCAATGTCTGTTGGATAGCGCAGTCATCAAAGAAAGGATCCATTATGGGTGCCATATCAAAGTTTCCAGAAAAGAAGCTTTGAGATAAAGGTTCAGTGAGAGCTTGGACATCGCAGATCCTCTTAGTGGGTACTGAAGATCCTATTTCAATGGCATGCATGTTAGAAAGGTTTGAGAGAGAAAAATGAGATGAGCTTGAAACAGTGCGTACCTGTATGTTCGATGCGTTGGAGTCGACCTTTGAGATTCTGAACGACACGTATGGCTTCTGTTGAAGATTTTACCTCCGAGGCAAGGGAGGTAAAGATTTCCATGGCCAGGGATAACGAATAATCAACAGCAATCTTTACCTCGTCATCTGGATTAGACAATATAGAGGCTTGCAGGACCGTCGCTGCGCCGAAGGTGACTATTATTTGGTGTCAGAAATGTTGTTTCCCGAGACTGCACAATTTAGACGTACAGTAGACACTCCACCATGCCGAACATCTGTAAACGGTGCCCAGGCCTCGGTGTAAGACTAAAATCAGCTTGTGGGCGGTTTCTTGGCATTCCTGGGTCATCTCCTTGACAACTGCCTCGTCAAAGTTTTTGTGGTGAGAGCTTCCGATTGTAGCAGAGAATTCAGCGGGAAGGGTGAGGGGCCGCAGCAAAAGGAGACGCGTATAAAGAAAGCTATATGTCATGAGCATCAGGCAAATATCGAAGGGAAACTTCAATGACTTACCGACAGTATAAAATTCTTGGTTGAAGAAGAGTGTTATCTTGCTGGACATCCGAGTCTGTACAAGTACCCTGGAGTGTCAGATAACCCGGGAGGCCATCCAAAAATACATCCAGCTGTGAGTTCAGACGAAGCATCTCATCCAAGTCCAGTAAGGGCATTTTTGTCTGGTTATCGATGTCCATAACTTGCTCCTGAGCGTCTTGTGCATAGAAAGATTTCAACACGTCATCAAGAATTTCTAGAAGACGGATTGTATATACAAACAATCCAAGCCGACATGAGGAGCCTGGCGGTTGAGTTCCTTCTCCGATTTCGAGAAGGTACTCGTCGTCGATGGTAATCGGCAAAGGCACACGGGACCTGCACGGCAGCATGGACGGCCTCCCGAACGTGGTGCAAATAAGCCTTTCATTACGCGGTGAGTACGCTTTATCGCATGGTTAAGTAGCACAAGTGAACGTACCTATCCAACGTCACGCACACGTACCATACTCGTCTTCGCATTTCTCTTTCTAGTTGGCTGGTAGAACTGGATTTACGTGCATCGGTATGCAGGCCAAGGCTTTGTGCCACTCTAGTCGCCAGTCCTACCATGTTCCAACATCGGTTCGAGTGCATTGTTGATTGCAGATGAAGAGCGGTTAGCAGAAGCAATTGGACGACTGGTAGTGTCGCCTCGTCCAAGGTATCGATTGGCACGAGCCTCCTCGCTCTCTGGTAGAACTGGTCTGCCAAAGCGGCCCGGTTACCCGTTTTTGGGCTGTGGGTAAACCTGCATCCAATTGCGAGGACCATATTTAGTGTTGCCAGCATGATAGAGTTTTCTGTTGCTTCACTGCCATCTTCAACGTCTCCGGGCTCCCATAGGCGATTATAGAAGCGCATGAATGTTGGGATGTGCAAAATGGGATATACCGGATGGACGATATCCCAAAAGCTCTGAAGATACCTGTCAGATATGCTTCGAATAGGTACAAGATCTAGGACAGCCAGATCTTTGCATTGTTCTTTGGCATCGGTTCTATATCGCTTTGCTCCCCGATGTTCGGCTGTATCAGCCGCTGGCTGGTCCAATGCCTCAGTCTCGCCTGTAATGAGTAGTACGTGTTCAACAAATGCGATCGTCGAGGACGGACCATAGAGCAGATGTTGATCCTTGTTAGGTAACGAGACAGTCGCCAGTCCATCGGTTGACTCAGCTTCGTCAGTATCTGTCGCTTCTGGTTCCGATGCTGAGCTTTTTGGAGCGCTGATCCTCGGGGAACGGCCACCAATCTCCTGCTTGCGGCTTCTCTCAAGTTCTTCCAATCGCTCCTCCAATGCTTGAATGTGTCTCGATGGGAGTCAACACTACTGGAGCTCGTGACATACACAATACGTACTTCTGCGTTTTTAACGTGCCCTCCTCATACAGACACTCTTGCTCAGATCCTCTTCTTCTGCATACATCGCAAACTGGCCGTTTGCCGTCACAGCGGACTTTGCGAGCACGGCAGCAATCGCAAGCGAGTTGTACCTTTCGACGTTTTCGACGTGGTTCCGGCTCGTATGGGATCGAAAGGTCTGTTCCAGCAGGAAAATTGCTAAAAACATCATCAAACGGCTGGTTCGAGTCTTGGGACGACATCGAGAACTCGCAGAACAAGAATTGTGCTCGCAAGGTTGAGGGCACGCAATTGCTGTACCGCCTTACTGAACCAGTTCGTACGGAAGAAGAGGGGTTGAGGTTTCGGGTGTTTTGTGCGCTCTAAACTCTATATCCTGCACTTACTGGCTTGAATCGGAGGATGGACATGGTTGTTAATGACTAATTGATGCGGGGAAGTTCATTCTTTGCTAGAAGTAAGTATGGTTATATTAGTGTACTAAGGACTGACTAAGCGGGCATTGACGGCAGACGCGCCATCACGATGTATTCCAGGGCCCTACTATTTATTAAGGATTTCTATTTAAATAATTATTAAAAGTAAAAAATATAATTTATTAATTATTAATTTAAAATAAAATAATCTTAACCTCTAAAATATTATGTAAATATTAAAATAATAAATTAAAAATAACTTTTATTTTATATTTTCTTATTATTTTTAATAAATAGTTTATATAAATTATAAGAAGGATATCTCTCTAATATTAAGTAATTAAGGTTACTTATCTTATATTTACTTCTGCCTAAACTTAGCCCTTAAGAACCTTTACACCTTGCTTATTAGAATTACTCTAAAGAAAGATAGACCGCAATTTATAAGACAAAGTTTGACAATCGGACTTCTTCTAACACCGATTGAGGCGGGCGTCGGTCTTTACATCGAACTGATGAGTCAATGCTTTTCCGACAGTCACCGAGTGCCCAATTTCTCCGAGGTTTGAAGGTGTCCGAAAGTGGGTGCCGTCAAAGCGCTAAGGCTAACTAAAAGCCGCCTCACAAACCATGCTTGTTCTTGTAGCCGGTGCAACTGGCAACCTTGGCCAGAAGCTCATCGACAGCCTTTATTCACGTGGCCATCAAGTCCGTGGTCCCGGACGCAACCCACACAAGATCGGCTAAGCCCGTCGGGACAAGCTGGAGTGCTTTGTCCAAAGCGAACCCTATTATGACGTCCCTGCCATCGAGAGTGCTTGCAAAGTTGTTGATGCTGTCATCTGTGCCTATACGGGCATGCCTGAATCGTCACTCGACGGCCAGCTTCTCTTGTTCCGTGCTGTCGAGCGAGAAGGGATAAAGAAGTATGTCGCCGCTTCGTGGAACTTTGACTGGAAGAATATGAATCTCGGGGTGCATGAGAGGTATGATGCATATATTGCGTTTCGAAACCAGGTTGAACTCAGCTCTGATATCACGCCTAATTACTTCTTTACCTGAGTTCTAGCCGAAGTATTGTTCTCACCCCCTGGCCACGGAGACTTTAGTCCTGCTAATAAAGGTGCCTGGGACCCTAAACGGAAGGCCATGGGGATCTGGGGTACAGGTAAGGATAAATGACACTGGATTACAGAGCGTGATGCAGCAGAATTTACAGTGGCTGTCATCGGGCGCGATTATGCTTCTGAAGGAGGCATTGGTCGGTATCCTCTGGCTTCGATACTCTGGAAGACATCGCCAAGACATATGGGCAAGTAAGAAACTGCCATGTCGATATCCGCAAGAGGGGTGGTGGAGAGGAGCTGGATAACGATAAGCTCTATGTCAAGACGACTAGTCTGGAGGAATTTCTGCGCCAGTATCCACAGCTCTGATCATCATGTATGTAAGAGATGAATTGTGGGCAACAGCATCATCATTACCATCATCAACTGTCATGTATTCAGTAGCTACAGCTAGATCAAACCCCCTCACTTGTTTCTACCAGTTACAGCAGCGTATTGTGAGAGGCCCGATCGTGACATATCAGCAATCGACCTAGATAATCCGCCTTTCACTACTGTATAACAACGTTTCCCGTCAACCATATACAGCATTATAATCTTAGCATCTCATATGCAGGTGTTGTTGAAGTGGAAGATGGACTATGTATACTAGTTTGAGAGGCCGGAGTTACCTCTAGGCAACGCTTGAGGATGCGTAGTCTCGGACGGAACCCGCCTGTCAAACTCGACTCTACTTCGACTTTTTCATTTCTTTTTTCTTTTTTCTCTTTTTACCTATCTCCTTAACACCTAAACGCTTATAGGGCTTTGGCTGCCCTACCTACCCCTAATAATTAGCATATACCTTTAAGTTATTTAAATTTTAAATTAGTTACTTTTTAGCAGGGAAAGTTTATTTTATGTCGAATTACTTGCGAGGATACGTAACCACCTTCCAGCTGAGCGGATGTTGGGTTACGTTGATATATCAGATTGGTTGAAGGCGACAGGGTAAGCTCCAAACTGAATTAGCCTACATCGTCCATTCTCATTATAACATAAACAAATGAAGGCATTTACACTAAGTCATCATGATTTCATCATTACCGTCTACTCCAAACTTAAGGGTAAAATGGGTGTTTAGCGACAGACTTGCCCCGCGTCCTACTCGACCTTGAGATTAAAATATTTTGGTTTTAACTTTGCATGTGCAGGGTGACATTCGCAGCTGACAAACCTTTAAGGTTATCACAAAGTTAACGGGATGCTCTGAATCAGAGGCCAAGGTGGTTTTACACAGCCTAGCAGGTTCTGTATGTCAATCACTCAGGATGCCAACCAACTCAGCATACCCAGAGGGGTTTTATTTGCCCTAAGGGCGGCAAAATGTCGACAGGCTGGATGCTTATGTTCTTGATGACAACCTTGCCCATACGGATGTTATTTATAGATGCATACTAGAAACAAAAGTATGGAGCTAAACAAAGGTAGACATCTCTCAAACTCACATGTCAGACGTATGGATGTGTTGGATCCACACTCCTTTCACATGCGCTGCGTTTAATATGGGCTGCAGTTATGGTTTGAGAGTTTTACTTTCAAGCCTGCCTTGTTCGCAGGTTGTGAGGTTACCTATAAGTTATAAAACACCGTCGCAGACCAAAATTGAAGAGACAGTGATCTTATCCTACTCATCCAATACAAATGTCCTAATTCGCGCATCTGACTATGAGTGATTCTTCCACAATCCATGTGCCCGAAGCAACTGTCGGCTCCGTGAGTGAACGTGGCGGAGCGATCCCCGAGGAGGAATTGGACACCCTAGATGGTTATGAGTACGTCGTGGTTGGCTCAGGAGCCGGCGGAGGACCATTAGCCGCCAATCTCGCCCGGAATGGCCACAGAGTTCTTCTACTAGAAGCAGGCGATGACCAGGGATCCAACCCCAACCAACAGGTTCCTGCTTTCCATTCCAAATCAACAGAGGACGAAAAGATGCGCTGGGACTACTTCGTCAAACATTACGCAGACGAGAAAGCCGCGCAAAAAGACTCGAAAATGACCTGGGAGACACCAACGGGAACGCTTTATATCGGATTGAATCCACCCAGCGGATCAAAGCCGAAAGGAATCCTCTACCCGCGTGCAGGGACCCTTGGTGGTTGTACAGCACACAATGCCATGATCACCATCTATCCTCACGAAAATGATTGGTCAAACATCGCCACCCTGACCGGCGATGATTCGTGGCACCCGAACAATATGCGTCAGTACTTCAAGCGTCTGGAGCGCTGCGAGTATCTTCCAAATGGTACCCCTGGTCATGGCTTCACTGGATGGCTAGGTACAGATCGTGCTGATCTCAGACTGGCACTGGGGGACTTTAAGATCCTCTCAATAATCAGTGCTGCTGCTACTGCTATGGGGAATACGATCCTCGGGCTCATCCCCGAGAAAGTTTCCCAACTACTTGGACTCCTGCTGCGGGACATGAATTCCATTGATCCTCGCCGGGATATGACTGAGGGTATCTACCAAATCCCCCTGGCCATGAGTCACGGGAAACGAAGCGGTGTCCGCGACTTTCTTGTAGAGACTGCCAAGAAGTATCCGCTGGACATCAGGACAGGCTGCCTTGCCACCCGTGTGATTTTCGACGAGAGTTCGCTCGCAAACTCCACTCCGAAGGCGACTGGTGTCGAGTTTCTCGAAGGAAGCAGCTTGTATAAGGCCGATCCCCGGTCAAGTTCATCCACAAATGGCACTAAGCGACGAGTCCGCATCTCTCGAGAGGTCATCCTTGCGGCTGGGGCTTTCGGCACGCCACAGCTTCTGAAGCTGAGTGGCGTCGGTCCAATGGACGAGTTGCAAAAGTTTGGGATCCGTGTCGTCAAAGATATGCAGGGAGTTGGAACCAATCTCCAGGATCGCTACGAGATTCCCATCATTACTAAAATAGAGGACGACTTCCCAATCATAACAAAGTGCACGTTCGGGGAGCCTGAGGACCCGTGCCTCGCAGACTGGCACCTTCAGCGTGGACCCTATCTATCCAATGGACTCCCCATCGGGATAGTGAAGAAGTCCAGTCAAGCAGATGCCGACCCTGACCTTTTCATCTTTGGCGGTCCTGCATTCTTCAGGGGGTACTATCCTGGGTATTCGGAACTCACCACTTCGGACAAGAGACACTTCACGTGGGCCGTGCTCAAGGCTCACACACATAACCAGGACGGAACTATCATGCTCACCTCATCCAATCCTCGAGACGTGCCAGATATCAATTTCAATTACTTTACCACGTCTCAGGGTGGGATTGAGAAATCTGAGCGGGATCTCGGCGCCATTGCCGAAGGCGTTGCTTTCGCACGACGCATTATGGACGATGTCCTGCCGATTGCCACTGGGCCCCTTGAAGAAGCATTACCTGGCCGTCACTTGGCTTCTACTGAGCAGGTGAAAACATTCATTAGGAATGAGGCGTGGGGCCATCATGCTTCTTGCAGCTGCCCCATTGGATCGGATGGAGACCCCAAAGCCGTACTTGATTCTCGTTTTCGTGTTCGCGGTGTGAGCAACCTGCGCGTCGTTGATGCTTCTGTCTTTCCTCGTATTCCTGGGTTCTTTATAGTCCTTCCCATCCATATGGTTAGTGAGAAGGCGACTGATGTTATTCTTGAAGATATTGGCGAGAGAAGCCATGTCTGAAACGCCTCGCCGCCAGATATTGTCTGTTCACCTTACTTTCCTGGTCTATTCTTCTTTCATTTCTCATACTTTCATTAAGTCGTCGTATAGTCTGATGAATATTTATAAGGAACCTTTCTTTTTTTACCAATAAGTACCTCCGAATGACAGGTATCTATGCTTCTACTTTGGTTCCCGAATTGCTGACTCCGTGGGTTGCCTTCCTTCCACCTCCGCCCACTATCCCCTCACCTAGTTTTGCGGTATTTCCACATACAATAGTCATTCCGCTTGGCTCTCGCCTCGTGCCTCTTACGGTTCGCTGCTGCTCCTTGTGGTCTGAGGGCGTCCTGTTTTCAAAGCATATTCATCCAACCATGCAAGTAGCTCCCTTCATGCTCGTGCGCATGCTCCCGTCAAAAGTTAGTTTGTCTTCCGTTAAGTCTTGTAGCGACTGCGGTTCTGCTGAGCCCCCTATTACGTAGCAGCTGGTAACATAGCTTTTCGTTCCCCAAATACGTGTACAGCCGGAGAAGCATTGCTGATGTCTTGTTCTGTCGCTCGCCATTCGTATGTGGCATATATATGTTGAGTATATAGCACAGTCCTCATAAAACAGGAGCTGAAGGCTCATTTTCTGTAGTTATTCTATAACGGTTCGTATAGTTCGAGGTACGCCTTCTATGTCTTAAGAAACCTGCTCTAGGTATGCACTGGCCGTCAAGAGGGCAGGAGGAAGACCATCGGAACTTGCCCAGAAATAGACTGACCGACTTTGCTGTAGGCGACCGAGTCATCACGATGATGGTACCATAGAAACTGTCCAGGAGAAACGGACGAATCTCAAAAGCCTTCGAGTCTAGACGACTCATCTGCTGTGTAACTTCGACCGGTCGGATTCGTCGTATCGCCTTGCATAGTCAAAGAGCGACGATTGGCCACCTTGACGGCAAGACTGAGAGAATGGTAGGCCTCGAGATAAGGCTTAAACGTCTGTAGCTGGGGTATATTCTCGCGTACACGGATCCATTTGGTGGCGTCTTGTTAAAACGCCAGCGGGGATCAGTACTTTCAGATACTCACTGAGTATCACACAGTCACATGCAGCTATCATGCAATCACATGCAAAACCCATTCACATTCTGTGTGGCACTAGATAATTTAGACACGAAACCTCGGGAAACTCTGGAAAGTTTCAAAGCATGACTTAATAATGATGGCTGCCTTATTAAGCCCTTTAGGTCTTGTTTTCAGGATATTTATGAAGAACGTAGAGGGCCAGTTTCGAATATGGTTGCATGGTTAAATTGGGAGCTGATATCGTTTACTTTTATTACGACCCTTTTCGTTTAAGTTTTAAATATCCTGCCAGCTCCAGATTCCTTCGCAACTTGACTCGTTGCACTATGTCGCGCTGCTGTAATAGCATTTCATCAAAGAGTCACCAGGGCTTTTTCATTCACACATATTCATCTAGGATCCATTAATAAGGTTCCCGACCGTATGCAACGTGACGTTATTAATATCAATACTTGCAGATGTTTTGGTGTAACTTTATGCAGTCACATTTGAATTTGATTGATGACTTGGAAGAAAGCACGAAAACCTTAATCAGCTCCTGACCCCGTTGTGTAACGGAACTCAATATTAGCAATTTGGAGGACGGCCTGTGGTGCTGCCTCTCACTGATCACGACACAAAAGCCATTCAAGTATCTCTAGGGAGGTTTCGGCCGGTCGCTATTACGCAGTTGCCTACCAGGACTAAGCAGAAATCCCTTCAGTATTGGCTGCCACACTTTATAAACTATCGAAATGTCTCTGGAGAGGTTCTAGGTAGTAGGGCTGACAAAACTGCGACCCAAGGAGGGTTAAGGGACAGCAGCACACTGGTAATTTAGCTGACAGGGAAGGTTTGTGCTGGACGGCGCAACGAAGCTGTTCAGGCCCTCAAAAGTGCGGTACTCCGGCTCCTGGGTCATTATATCTTCCCTCCAGTTGGACAGCCCTGCGAGGAAGTCTCTGAGGGGCAGTTTGGAGACATCCTGGCCTTGGAAAAGCTTTTAGAAGAGGTCCTGCGACCATTTCTCGTATTTGGCGCTAACGTTTGAATGCCCGCGATAGATGAGGTTGAACTCAACGGAGACCTGGTTGCCGGTGCTCACGGGGAAATCGACCTTGTCAAAAACTTGGGAGAAGGACTCTCGCGGGTCCAGGACCCAGCTGGAGTCGGGAGCATAGTTCAGATTGAGGATTGTCCTTGTGTAGTCTGAGAGGTGATATTGACGTAGAGGCCGCAATGTGACACTGATAAGTTTGTCTGCAAAGCACTAATTTAACCTTAACCGTAAGTAGATTTAGAATACGTACAGTCTTGCGGTGTTAAAGAGGTCTTTGTCAATCTTTCTCTCTGCATCTTCCTTGCTCAAGCATGGATTCGGACCAAACCTTCCGCTCCCGTTAATTCGCTTCAGTTCTCCTGCCACATAGTTATGGAACCGACTAAATGTGATCAGCAACGCGTAGATGCCAGGCGGAAACCCCAGAAGACGGTGCTCAGAGAAGGTGTCAGGCTTGAGCATACCTCCTTTCATAGTGCGAACAGCTTCCTGTTCTTGCACGTTGTTGTCGTACAAAGGGGATAAGTCAAGGTAGGAGGAAGTGGATGAAATGCTAAAATCCGGGTTAGGAACCGTTTTGGTGTCGTCACCGGCACGGAACAAATCTAAATGTCGGTCAGTTTAACCTCAGGTGCGATACTGGCCCAAAAAAAGGGTTAGCGAAAAGGAGCCTAACCGTGGATGATAATGGTAGCCAAGTAGAAGAGCATACTCGAGATCTTGCTCAGTTGTTCTTTGGGCGGCCCCCGACTATAGTCAGTATTGTACCGAAAGGCTGAGGAACAAATCGGCCTCCGGTTGGGTTCAAAGTACCACGACTTCACTGTATCTAGTCTTCTCCGGTCCAGCTTGTGTCTGTTTTATTATCACCTCCTGCTGAGCCTTTCTGTGGCAAGAGACATCCGGCAGTGAGTTCCGTGCTATTACGCTGGACGTGAATGTTGAGTCAAGAACTGCCAAGATGAGGAATGGCTTTGTTGCATGGAGCCGGTAGCAGTGACGGTCCTGGGTCCCAGGCAGCCTGTGGTGGGGAACCAATTGTTAACAACCCAGCTAAGCTTCTGATCTGATTCCCAATCTTCAGCTAGTTGCCGTGTAGGTCCTTGCTTTAATAAGTTCGCTGTTGACGTGTCATGCCGTTGAAACGCCGTACGAGTGATAGCTTGCCGACCATATTATGAATACGGGAAGTCCCGTGCACCCCAGCTCAAGCCTGCGGCAACAGGTAGGGACCTCACGGGTTCAGCTGCGAAAGCGGTGTGTGCACATTATGCGCGGCTCAGCGCCCCTAGCTAGGAGTGCAGCGGCATGATGCGCTCGGCCCCTGGTTAGGAGGACGCTCATCTTCGTTTCTCAGCGACGATTCTTACTATCTATGCTATACTGTACTAATCTGGTTGAAATGAATTGCATGTGACCCGACAAAATAGCGTGCGGACCTTCCTGCATGACAGCCAACCTTAGCAGCTTGGAAATCCCCGGTCCCTACGGGGATCCGGCTCATGGCCCCGCCCAGGGCTATACATCGAGGGCTGAGGGTCGGTCGCAAACTCATCATTATATCTATGCAGACCGTCCACTCTACAGGGCTAGACGTAAGTTTCCATGCTTTTTGTCAAGATACGACAAGATACAAGTACCTCATACCGCAACTATTTTTAGTAACCTCGTTTAACTACAGTAGGTAACTTTAAGAAACTTTTACTAAAATATCATAAGCATGATGTGTTTATCAATGTACATTAACAACTAGACTCTCGAAAGTTTATCACATTTTAGAATTTTCAAAAACATCCGTTAAGAGGGAAGTCCACTGTTGGATTCGAACTTTGCCGATTATCAAGGTTTGGCAAGCTATCACCACCTTTTCCGCAAACCTTTTAACTTGGCTACTTGAATTGTGACGCCTAACTCCAATACGCTTAAATTACAGGGTCGCCTAGATTCTTTAATTCAAGGCCACATTTGACGGCCAACGTATTCCATTACCAGTATCTCAAGACCTGCATCGGCAAGACCAACATAGTTCAGAGGTTCCTTAGAACAACCCAGCCTCACAAACTAATAGCTTCTCCTCCCCTTTATTTTCCAACGATCCAACCTACTACACCATGCCGGAAGAAACGCCCAAGTTGGCAAGCTATCAGCGTATCATCCTGTGCTCAGACGGCACATGGCTTGCGTCCGATACGGGCGACAAGTCCACCCCTTCGAACGTCGCCAAGTTGGCTCGAGCGGTTGCGAACAATGGCCCTGATGCTAAAGGTAATATTGTCAAGCAGATTGTATCATACCATTCCGGCCTTGGAAGCGGAGACCTTCCATTTCAGAAAGCCATCTACGGTGAGTTGCTGAGACTAAGTCTCCCTCTTCGCTTTCTCTCGAACAGCTTTACTGACATTCTGCTACTGCATTTCACAGGCAGCTTCGGCTGGGGTCTCGACATCGAGGTGTCTCAAATCTATGACTTCATCTCTAATAACTACGAGCCTGGCGATGAGCTGTTCTTCTTTGGCTTCTCGCGTGGGGCTTTCACCGTGCGCTCGGTCGCTGGCCTGGTCTGCGACGTCGGCGTCCTTTCAGCTGTGCACATGTCCCGCTTCACGGAGATGTGGGAAGCCTACCGAGCGAATACTAGCGGTGAGCCCTTTAGGAATTCAGCGTGGTATCGGAATAATAAGGAAGAGCTGGGTCTCACGGATGTCAGGGTCAAGGTGGTTGGCGTGTGGGACACCGTTGGAGCTCTGGTACGTGATGCAAGATGTGATGGATACTGCTTCCGTTTAACTGACCTTGCATGGCTAGGGGATCCCAGAATGGCCCGTTGTGAGTTGGGCAACAAAAGCTGGCCTCCCAATCAACATGCGGTACGCATTCCACAATACGAAGGTATCAAAAAGTGAGTATTATCGCAAGTGTTCCTCGTAGAACGGCCAGGCCTAAATGACGACTCCTTCAGATCTAGACTATGCTTTTCAAGCCCTCGCTATTGACGAGAAACGACTAACCTTCCCTCCTACCCTCTGGCACAAGACTGTTGACGGTCCTGCGGAAGATCTGCAGCAATGCTGGTTTCCCGGCGTCCACGGCAACATCGGCGGCCAAAGAGACTATTTGCATGCCTCGGCTGACTTTGAAGAGATCAGTCACAACACATTTGCGTGGATGGCAAGTTCCTTCCCATCCTACTGCCTCAGTTACGATCCCAACCCACTGACTTCCTCATGCTTCAGGTGGACAATCTCTCTAACATGCTCACGTTTGAGGATGCCGCGATCAAGATTCTGATCAAGGAGCATCACCGGGCGCTCAATTCCATCAATATTACCAGCGGCTGGGGCTGTGGACCGATCGTCGACAATTTCTCTGGGCTGCAAGGCCTCTTCTTCTGGCTTCTTGGGAAGAAAGACCGCGCACCGGGCAGTTATCCTCGGGACCCAGGCGACGGCACTAGTGGCGCCACGAACGAGTATTTCCACCCTATCACCCGGATCCGCAAGGAAATCCTTGGCTACAACCCAATGCCATTGCAGGGATATTCCATCGAGAGACCCCATGGCAGTGCGGGGTGGAAGTGGGTGAAGAGCGGCGTCCAGTCGATACCCGAGTACGTAATGCACCCGGAGAAGAAGATGAGCGTCGCGTATGAAGAGAATGGGAGGGTGAAGTATCGAGTCGAGTCGAGTTTATCGAGATTGCTGTGCCCGGAGAATATCCTGTTGGATCTGGATAGAGACAATGGGATATAAACTGATAAACAGGGTCGTGGGCTGAGTGATCATTAGACATTAGCACCTGAGTGAACGAAGAGTTCAACGATAGCAGAGAGCCAGTGTATGCGTGGTCAACCAAGCCCCAAAGGTTTCAGGTTTTCCAATCACAACGTATTATCATGTTAAAGCCCTCCGTCCTATAAGGCTTTTCTTATATTGTGGAAAATTATCTAGCTAACAGGTATGCCATCAAAATAGGTGACTTATCATGGCGCTCTTTCGTTTCCACTAGCAGGATGGTGCGTTGATCTGTTGAGATGCATACTCCAACTGTATCGCGTTCTTGATACCTGAGATACTCTTCTCCTTTCTGACGTCCCGTCCTATGCCTAACCAAGCCCTAGAGCGGCAGACCAGCTTTGAGCGCTCATATAAGGGGTGAAAAGTCCACATACAGAGATGGTACGGTCTCCGGATGCAAAACACAATTCCATCGGCAGAACTTACTAACTGGAAAGATCGAGAAGCAGAGTAGCATGTGAAATACTCATGATTTTATGGTTATGACAGAACCTATCAGCTAGTACGGACATACTGACTCGTTAAAGAACCTGAGTGAGGAATACCGGTTCGATAGGTCACATTCTATGACTCTCGCCTTCGGTGAGAATCGATATAACCAGATTTAATGTCTCATTGCTAAAGCATTATTTAATGGTGACTCAGCGATGACAAACTACAGCTGGGATAAGCGGACTTCAAATTTGACTTCCAGGCTATCCATGACGATTCTTGTACCTCGTCTTTAATGACAAATGCAGCCAGTGGGATGACTCATTATTGAAGGTATGGTGAGCAGTCGCGGCCTCGCGGAGAGAGGTGCTAGAACCATATGGCTTAAAATTGAGACCTTAAGGATCCATCCGTCTTGTGTGGTGATACAAATGAGAACCCTACATAGAACAGATTTCCGGTCATACACAGTCTACAATGCGGTGGTGTCTCGCATCAACGTCAGCCCCTGGCAACCCACTTCAGCCCTTGAGGGAAACTCTAATATTGCGTCATGCCACCCCTCTCGTATAAGCCGTCTTTGTAGTGTGGGCGTAACTTTCCTGTCACCTGTATTCCAGTAAGCTTTCGCATATACCAGTAGCCTGTTGTACATGTACTTAACCTGGTGTTAAGAAAGATTAAGGATTATGGCATGATAAACAAGGTTCAGCATGTGAATAAGTGAATTATTTCTAGAGGTTGCGCTGTGGAATTGTGCTATAATGGTGATGACCATGTGAAGGTCTCAAGATTTCGAGATCCGCTAATTTCACATGCACGGGGTAGCGGGTTACTGTGAGATGAATATAAACGCAATTGAAGGGCGCAAGGTTCATGAAAAAGGCTTAAGGTAGCTTTTAGTGAGAAAAAGATGTATCACTCCCTGTTACTGTGTTCCTGCACCCGCGTAAGAGCAATTAACTAGCAGGTGTAGCCCCCTTACGACAATTACCTTGCCACAAGCCGCTCTACTCAAATAAGACTAGAACCTACGGTGCCGGATGAGCTACAGCTCAACTTAATAATGGATTGATCATCTCCATAACTTTTTTAGCCGCCGTATTATGTGTAGTCTATGTAGAGTATTAATAAAAGAGATTTTATAATATAAAATATAAAATTATAATAATATGTATTACTTTATTTTATTTTATTATTATCATTATCTTTAAGTTCATAAGTTAGCTTTAAAAGAAATATTTAAATGTTTTTAAAATTTAATTTAGTTTTACATATTTCTTACCCCTCAAAAGGTAAAGTATTATTAAGTTAATATTATTATAATTAGCTGTCTTAATTTTAGCCTAAACCTAGCTGTATATAAGCCAGCTAGAAAGGCTTGCTCTTTAGCTGGCCCTAATCTTCTCTTGCAACCTGCTTTAAAGGCTACTCTTGGGTTGACCCTACCGCATACCACGCTCTAATTGTCTAACACGCTTCCA